CGTTAGGATTTATGGATTTCTAGGATACTTAGAACGCGCAGAGTGAACTATCGCCATATATTGGCGATCTCAGAAACCTCCTGGGCACCTTTAAGGTGTAGGAGGATTTGCGCACGACCATCTCGTTGCATTGTACATCGATATTCTGCTTCTGGTGTACATAGATTTGTATTGTGATAAAATATTCGACACACTATTTTGCAGTTTTTTATGTAAGGTTGGCAGCGTTTTTTTTTTAACTCATTTGTTTGTCTGAGGGTGAATAAAATAAACTGCAGATGTCGAATGAGTCGCAATTTCACTGTCATTTGGAGTCTTTGGAAAGCTTTCGAACAAAAAGCGGATGTTTCCCTAAAGTTGAATCGGAATTGCTGTTTTAATGAGAATTTAATTGTGTTGTTCTCTAACACGTGCTTACTTGCTGTATGCTATGATATTCTTCGGTGCTCTTAAAGTGCCTTGACGTTGCTGGCCTTACAATTAGCTGGTGTCACGTCCTCTGCTAGAGAATTCATACCTTATGTGAGAGTCTAACTATCTACTTTTAACGCGGTGCTCTCGCTAGTCAGATAGTATTATGGGTTCTTTATAGTTACACTCCAGCGTAACGTCAGCGAATGTCCAAGAGTTTACATTCGTGTTTTGTGGCATCGATCGTCAGTTACTCAAGAGCGCCAGTCTTGCTGGATGCTGTAAAAGTAGTTTTACTATTCTCAACTTATTTGTATGCGTTCAATAGAATGCATCACGTCGATAAGATCTTGTGGTCCTTCAAAACTAACGACGAAGCCCTTAAGGCGTAAACCACTCACTTGAACTTCTATTATGAGACGTAAATTGGAAACAAAAAATTCACATCTGAGCAAAAAGAAGAAAAAAAAACGACGCGAGCAATAAATTTTTGGTGGCTAAATTAAGTCTTGATTCATTGTGCAGAAAACCATCCGAAAATTGCACGAGAACTAAAATTAAAAAAAAATAGACGCCATTTATTTTAGTATTAACCATGCGTGAAGCTTTATCGTACATAAATTGCAAATATACGCATTCAACGAAACCAGATTAAAATCTACGTGGAGTCAATACCATCGGTTTTAACGAATAGTCTGGAACAATTTATTATGTTCAAGTTTTCGTCTTATCTTCGCTTGTTTTTTTTTTTTTTTTTTTTTTTTGCAAATTCGTCTCTTTTAGCGATTACCGTTAGGAATACCGGCGGAGCGCCGTATGCAATCCACATTCATTGATTTGCCGAGAACTATTGTCAGCACTGATGAGGCCACAGCCAATGTCTCTGTTCCATATGAATGTTTTCATGTAAAAAAAAACAAACAAAAAAAACACGGACAGCGGATGGAAATTGAGCCCAGGAATAACCTTTGTATGCTAAAGCGAGCGCATTGACATGCCTAGTCTCTCCTTCTTGTGGGAGTTCTCATGGAAACACGCCGACTCGCCGAAGGTTTCGCAGCGTCATACTTTATGGATAAGAGTAAAAGAGTAATTGTTTTGTTTTTATTCCCATACCTTGCAACCAACTTCCTTTTGCAATGCCCCTGGGCCCTGGGGGTACTTAAAAGCGTAAATAAACAAACAAATCAATAAAAGTTTATTGCAAAAGACAAATAAACGTCAAAATGATTATTTGAATACTTGGGCAAACAAAATTTGTCAGCCTGGTTGAAAAAAAAAAGAAAAAAAGAGGTGTTTACACTGTATTGTAGCAATCTGTCCTGTGCAGCACGACACGGATTCCAAAGTCTTCGATATATATGCCCCGAGAACGGATGGTGCGGACAAGACGAGAGGGGGCTGGGACGTCAGAGTTCCGAGCACTGATTGGACAGATTAGTGGGTAGACCGAAAGCCAGCTGCCTTTGTCTCCACTTCACTCGTTTAACGCGTCCGAAAGCGAGAGCCAAACGCCCGACGCCGACGTTCCGCATTCGAACGCGTTCGATGAGTGCAGTGGAGACAAAGGCAGCTGGCTTTCGGTCTACCCACTAATCTATCCAATCAGAGCTCGGCAATCTGGCGTCCTCTCTCGTCTCCTCCTCTCCCTCAGTTTTTCGGCGCATTGCGCAGAATAGTTGTTATAGAATCCTCGCTGGCACACTGCAGAAACTACTACTTGTTCTTATATTGAACAAGAAAGGAGAATAAGAAAATAAAAAAGGTAACGCGAACAGCAAGATGTTGTTTTCATTCGTTTCTTTTTTCCATCGGGGAAGAAGATAAAGAATAAAAAATGAGGAACATCGCAAGCGTCCTCGGTTGATTTCGGCCACGCGACGTGCCGCATCGTGAGCCCCAGTTGTTCGGCGGCTGCCGATCGACGCGGCTGCCCAAAAAGCCACAGTGCGATTGTTGTCATGGAGATAATGATTTTTTTCTTTTGTTCATTTTTCTTCTGTTCATTTTTTGCGGTTCGTCCAATTTGGTGCCTTTCTCCACACTTGGCAACTTTCATTTATTTTATATCGTAACTTGAACCTTAGTATGCGCTTTTTTGTCCTCTGCGGCACTTACGGGCACTTTTGTTTTCGTCCCGGGGTATATTGTATTGTACTATAGTTACCAACGTTACTATCTTCTCCATCTTTTTCGCAACCAACAGGGATATATGATTTTGATTTTATTTGTCCATTGTTCTCGTTGCTTTTATAAGTTGTATGTGTCGTCTGCCGTTCTTTGATGTCCTAACTAGTTCTTAAATTAGAAGTCTCGGATTCAGAACTTTTCAACATCTCCCTTCTAGAAGACTTTGACGAGCGTGTTGGGACAGATGTAACAGTAAGAAAGCACAAAACAAACAGAGGGACAAAAACAGACATGTACAAGCTTTCAGTTTACAACAACATATATTTGACGCCAGCGAAGTCTGCACCAACAACCGTCGGTGGGGAAAGGGGGAACGAGCAAGAGGGAGAAAAGAAGGGAGAGAAGGTTGAGAGGGAAGAAAAGGGGGGAGGGACGGGAAGATAGCGTTTCCACATGCGAAGCTGATAGACGGCCGAAGGCCGAGGGGGGGTCTTGTTGTTCAAGGTTGTGCAACTGGAGTCCGAGAAAACGCCGGCCTCAGAAACACCAGTTCTGGTTTTGTCAACGAGAGGGATGGGGAGGCAATGTTTTTCTTGGTGGTAGTCATCCTATTCGCAACTCCAGCAAAACGGACGCCACCAAGCGGGAAAACCGGGAACCAGCCGGTCCAGGTCGCTCCGCGCCCCTCCGCGTCTCTGGTGGCTTTCGCGGAGACGTGTAGTCGGCGCGGTGGCGAACAAATAATGTATTTTGACGAAGGTCCGAATATTTCTTAACTTTGCCTGAGTGATCATTAGTGTGGTGAGGCCTCAGTAAATTGTTTCCTTCCATCACGTGTTTGAAAGCCCGTTTACTCCACAACACACGGTCGCGTGCTTTCGATTTCTTGGATGGGGAGGAATCACGGAAAAACGTTTTGATTTCTTGTCTGTCTCGAATCACATTCAAAGTGACGACTACTTGGTAGCTGATAAGTGGCTTCTTTATAAGGATGTAGAACAGTGAACTGAGGATGACAAACGAGGCATTGCACTGGAGGAAACATCAATGTTGCAGTCAAGTGAATGGGAAGGTTCTATAGCTGCTTTTCTTGAGTTTGGTTGTGTTCGGTTAGCTTCAAGATTGAGCCACTCACGCCGGTCGGGGCGTTGGCTATTCATCTTGGCTGCTTTTTGCCGAAAAAGCCTCTAGACCATACTGAAGGTGTTTGGCTAATTTCGCAGTTACTTGATTCAGGAAAGCCTGCTCGCTGCAAATGATGAATGAGGGAAATTATCTGTTTTCAAAAGGTGGGGGACGAGTCTCGCGACGTAAGATGCTGTCACGGCATTTTGACCTATCGCGCCTCCAATATTTATATTACGAGGATGTCGAAGCCAGCAGCATTATACGTCTACATTGGTCAGGTTGACCGGCCAAAAAAAATACTAATTTTTTTCCGTTCAAGATTCGAAGCAAAGTTCAATGCAGAGAGGTTCTGCGTGAATGTTCGATGAAGACTCTCTTCAGTTTGTCTCCGTGCTGCCAGCTATGGAACCATTTGGCTAAGTTTAAGTAGTATCTCTCTGCCTCTCAAATATACTTTTATTCAGCAGCTCACCTAATAGCTAGTCAACTAAGCTCATATTTCAACCCGAAGATATACTAATATCACCTTAGGGGGACATACTACGTAATGTAATACATAACCCGCTCGTCAAAATGACTTCTCGCTAAAATCTGGATTGAAATACGAGTATCAGCTGCTTAGTGGGGCGCCAGCGGGTTAACATGGTCCTTGACTCAAGAAGCGCTTGCTTAAAGGGACCATGAAATGATTTTAAAATCGAGTTTCATCCACCGCACGTCGTAAAAGGTGTGAAAAGAAACACAAAAACACAAAAATAGGGAGCCCAAAAAAAATTATTTGCTATAGAACATTTAAAAGAAAACTGGACTCTTTTGCGCCTTCCTTCCTTCGCCTGTTCACTACGATGCATACGCAGAATCGGTGCACGTCAGCCGAATCCACATCGCCTATTGGGTAAGAGCCTACCTCACCAGCACCGCGATCGTAAACAATAAATAGCCGGCGAATGTTTCCTAAAAGTTTTGTTAAATAATATTCAGATCCACATTTTGTAGCATGCTGAAGTATTCCTTGTTCGTCACGCAGATGCTGCCGTGGCTTGTTTGCCCGATCTGGAACGCAGGCCAGTTCATCGCGCCACAACATGACTCAGCGGACACGACCCAATTCCTGCATAGCAGCCACGATTGGCTGCCGCAAATCACGACGACATCGACGTCATCAGCAGCTGGACTACATAAGCAACAACGGGACAAGCAGGACTTGAGAGGGCCCGGCATCCACGCAGCAGCCAAGATGCTGAAGTATTCCTTGTTCGTCACGCAGGTTAGTTACATGTCAAATGCACATGAGTTCCGTAGTGACTGTAGATTTTTGTTTGTCCTGCCGGGTCCTCAAAAGTGCCATGAAATTCTGTCAGAATGTTGGGATGTTGTGGTATTGTTCTGTAAATGGCAACTTTTACTGTCCGGAGACGTAGAGGAAAACCCTGGGCCTGACGGAAACGTTGAGGATATGGTACGCCAGATTTTATCTAACCAGAACCGAATTGCTGAGGACATAAAAGAAATCAGAACAAACCAAGAGAATATGAAAGTTAACCAGTCACGCCTAGAAGCTAGTGTAAATGAGATTAACAGTAAAATCAACAAAATTGAGATCACAATGAAAACTGTTCAGGCTCTGAATGAAAACGTAAAAGAAATTGAGAAGAAGGTTCAAAGCCTCGAGAAAACGATAGAATATCAGAACGACCGATTGACTGACTTCGAGAACCGAAGCCGCAGGAACAATCTGCTAGTATTTGGAATACCAGAAGTAGACAAAGAAAGTGAAGATGATCTGAAAAAGAAGGTGATAAAAGAACTATTTGAGATTAAACTTGGTGTTCAAATCGCGTCCCTTGAAAGGATTCACAGAGTGGGATATAAACGAAACGAATCATGCAGGCCAGTCATAATAAAGCTGTTTAATTATAATGAAAAGTTAGCCGTGCTAAAGAATTGCAGAAAGTTAAAAGGGACGAAGATTAGTGTAAGTAGCGACTATGCCAGAGAGACCCGAGAAAAACGTAAGAAACTATGGAACTCTGCCTCGGAAAACAAAGCCAATGGGGATGAAGTGTTTCTAGTGCATGACAAACTCAAAATTAATAATCAGACCTTTGAATGGGATCTGAAGCAGGATCAACGATTCCCTACAAGAATCCACAGTGCAAGGGGCGAATGACTTGATAACCAAGCGAATGTTCCTGCAGAATTAAGAGTAATCAATCTAAACGCACGAAGTATACTGAATAAAGTTGCCGACCTGGAAAGTATATTGCTGTGTCAATCCCCGCACATTGTTATCATGACAGAAACATGGCTTACATCGGATGTAAAGAGTGACTGTGTCATTCCCCCAAACTACAAATTAATAAGAAAAGATAGGGCTTCTCGTGGAGGTGGCGTTGCTATCGCTGTTAAGATTAATATGCAATGTGTAGTCTTAGATCATTGTTTGGATGATATGCTGTTTTGTAAAATAAAATATGGTGATTTATCTTTTCTTGTCGTCGCAGCCTACCGTGCCCCGAACAGCCCTATTAGGTTTCTTGAGGATTTGGATGTTGTCCTTAATACATATGCTAATGATAATACGAGAATAGTATTGGCAGGTGACTTTAATTTACCTCATGTTAACTGGGACCTTTTGCATGCTGGAAGTGTGGACAAAGCAAATTGTGAAAAAATGCTTGAGATTGCCTTCGGCCACAGTATTACCCAAGTGGTTAAGGACTTCACTAGAGTAACCGATACTACCCAATCTGTGCTGGACTTAATTTTTTTAAGTGATAATATTGCTGACTATAAGGTATCTGTGGTTGATGGCATATCTGACCATAAGATGGTTTTATTGACTATAAAATGTGACAAAACAGCTGTGACTTCTGTGCCGTGTAGACTCATATACAAGGACTTTGAAAGTGCCGACGACACAAGTATTATTGACTATTTAGAACTATCGTTTAATTCGTTTGAATTATTGTGCCACAGTGGTGATGTTCAGAGTGCATGGAACTGCTTCAAGGAGATAGTTTTCTATTGCATTAATAAATATGTACCGAACAGGATAAAAAAGACGAAAAGAAATAATCCGTGGATCACAAGAAATATAATACACATTAAACGCAGACTGAAAAGGTGTAGAAAAAAGAACGGTAACAGTGTTAATATGAGACAATTAAGTCAACAACTTAAAGATATGGTGAAAGCCTCTAAACACAGTTACTACACAGTAACGCTTCAAAACTTTCTAAAAAACAGCCCCCAAAAATTCTGGCGACATCTAAATCCAAAAAAAGAAAGCATAGAGCAGATCACATTAGACGGAAGGGTAATAACTGACACCAGTGTACTAGCAGATAGCTTCAATTTGTTCTTCCAGTCGGTATTCACACGCGAGGCACAGCACGAAAATAACGAGAACAATGGGGAAAAACTGACGGAGCAAAATGCACGCAATGACAGTGATATAAATGCAAGGTCAGGATTTGAGCAAGGTTATGATACCGTACACACTATGCCAGAATTGATAATAACAAAAGAAGGAATCTTATCAAAGTTGTTAGACCTTGACACAAAAAAAGCGTTTGGCCCCGATAAGATACCTAATATGTTCTTAAGGCGGTACGCCGAATGGATGTCGTTTTATCTACATTGCTTATTTGTGAGTTCATTGCAGTCATCGCAACTTCCCACGGACTGGCGTTGTGCACGAGTCGTTCCAATCTTTAAAGCAGGAGACAAGCTGACCATAGACAATTACAGACCGATTTCCCTAACATCCGTAGCTTGCAAAGTTATGGAACATATAATAGCCAAACACATATTACATCACCTCGATACTAATCAGTTGCTTTATTCCAAACAACATGGGTTCCGCTCTGGACTGTCAACAGTAACACAACTGGTTGAAACGGCTCATGACATGGCATCCATATTAAATGACAAACAGCAACTGGATGTAATTTCTATAGACTTTTCTAAAGCCTTTGACCGGGTGCCACATAGGAAGCTTTTGTCAAAACTCAAAACTTTCGGAATAGAGCCAATGATAATAAATTGGATAAATTCTTATTTAACAAATCGAAGTCAAAGTGTTGAAATTAACGGGCATGTTTCAAATTCCCTTCCGGTATATTCGGGTGTACCGCAAGGTTCTGTTTTAGGGCCCCTACTGTTTTTGATGTACATAAACGACATAGCACACGGAACACCACCACATATTCATATTAGGCTTTTTGCAGATGATTGCATCATTTATTCAGCAATTAAATCTCAGGATCAACAAAGAGCTCTAAATGACTATCTGGATCATATAGAAGAATGGTGCGACCACTGGGATATGAAAATAAACTTTACTAAATCTGTATATTGTCACATAACTAAAAAACGGAGCACACTTCCATTTCAGTACTGCATTGGAAATACAGAACTGGGCAATGTGGAAAGTTTCAAGTACCTCGGCGTTACTTTTACGAGAGATTTAACCTGGTCTAAACACATTGACAATATTTGTTCATCGGCATATAAAAAGCTTTGTTTTCTTAGACATAAATTAAAACACGCAACAAAAGAGATAAAGACAGTAGCTTACAAAACATACGTTAGGCCCATCCTGGAATATGCTAGTGTCGTGTGGGACCCTTACACAAAGAAAGACATTGAGAGTTTAGAAAAAGTTCAACGACAAGCAGCACGTTTTATTCACTGTAACTATAGACAGACGGCATCCCCAACGGAAATGCTCCGAAATAGCAATCTAGAGCCCTTGCACATAAGACGAGAAATCGCACGCTTGAAATTGCTCTTTCTAATAATTAACGACAAATTGAACTTAAGTTCAAGTAAATACGTTCTTCCCTCAAGTTCAAAACGATCCAGTAGATTAAACCATACAAAAACGTGCCAAACTTTCAAAAGTAGAATTGATACGTTTAAACAGTCATTCTTTGTTAGAACAATCGAAGCCTGGAATCAATTGCCCAGCGAGATTGTAAATATTGAAACGGTGTCTTCCTTTGAGCAGTCTATCGCACAGTTGTTAAGCCAATAGGAGCATAAACAGGACATTTGAAGGGTGAAAACTGTTGTTGTTGTTGTTGTTTTAATACTATGTAGAATGTCATATTTTTTCTTGTTTCTTCCAAAAAGAGTTGTGTCTGCTGGCTTTTTCCTTGTAAATTCCGCGGCTTTTTTGTGTATGTAATTGTATTGTTATAAAATTCTCCCTGTAATGACCCTCAAGTGAGGGCCGACAGTATTTCCAAATAAATAAAAATAAAAATAATTAGAGATGTGTGGCGAAAATTGCCAAATTTGATAATGCTGAGAGCCAAGCGCCATCTATCGTGTGGTAAACGAAGCAACTACTGCGCGTGCGCAGTAGGGCAGGGCCGCCAGTTACTTGGGTGACGGCGACCGACGAACATTTATTTTCTTTGTTTTCCTTCCTCTCAAAACTCTGACTGACTGAACGTTTATTTTTCTACGTGTTCTTCCCGCGCGTGCCGACTTCAAGCAGCAAGAAAACAGTACTTAAAACAGACCACGACGAACAAGAACGCTGGATTCACCGACTCCGACGAAGCGTATAGGCCTAGCAGGCATTCCGACTCGGCGCTGCGTTGCTTCGTCGCAAGACCGTCTGCCTACGACCGGCTGGCGTGCTAAATGGAATATGCCCGCGCGACCCTTGTGGACCCTTCCCGTATTATAGTTTGATCACTGACCTCAATTCTAGATTAAGAGGTGAGGAGGTCAATCTCTTCCCCTTGTTTTCCGAGGCAGTGTTGACGAACACTCGTCGAAAAGGGACTCTCGTCGATTCTATCTTCTTGTTTTGTGTGATATAGAGCTGAAATAAACGCCGTATGGATTACCTTCGTAACACGGTATGTACACTTTGTTACATGGTATGCCATTTTTATTCTGACAGACTGCACGTGTCGACCCCGGTCCAACCTTTCTTTGCCGAGTGTCGCGTCAGTATCGAGTTGCAATCGTAAAAGAACGGTCCCGAAGCGCTTACCAACAGCGCGAATACAAGACTTCCATCAAGCGCGCGCGTCCGCTCCGAGTGTAAGCAGGTATTTACGTGGCTCTTGCTGACACTCGTAGTTCAAACGTATCTTTTTTAACGTCGGCTCGCTCCTGCATCTCCGAGGCCGCGAAAAACGCCATCTACGTCGCTTTGCAAACGACTGACACGGGCCGGCCCTTCTGCCAAGCACTTCCCAACAGGCATACCGGCGTATGGGACTAGTCCCATGCTGTCGCTGTAGCGCAACATATCTCATTGAATTTCGCTCAGCTGCGATGCGGCGATGAGAGGCGCCGATTCAGGAAATACGTCGGTGACATCAGCGCAGTAAAACCTACCGGCGCACCCCAACTCGTTGCCGCTAACACTCCCATGCTCCTACTGCCGAGAGAACTTCCGGTTCCGGAAACGGTCTACGTCACGGCTTCTTTTGCGGTCAGTTGGAGAGAATGAAAAAGTCGATATTTCAATAATTTTTTGTGTAAAAGTTAATAAACCGAGACGAAAACGGATGCCTGTTCGGCATTCAGTGAACATTGACGGTTTAATGTAAAAGTTATCTGGAAAAAGTAAAAAGGTCATTTCATGGTCCCTTTAATTTTCGTAATTTTCCTGCAGCCTGTGTTGTTGACCGAGCAGACGACTGGAGCTGTTTCTTAAACGCGGATACGCACAAAGGTTCGATTTCGCGGACAGATAAGTCGCATGGTAGAGGCATGCGAGTTAGTTGAAAAGTTACTTTCTGTGGAACGATTCTGTAGTCATTGCCGCTTTCCTTAGATGATCAAAACTGATTAGTATATTACCGCCTCTCCGGAGCCCATAGTTTCGGTTTTGAACGAAATCTCCGAAACGAAAGTTTGACATGAAAAGAACAAAAAACACCGGCAAAACAAAACTATGCTTTGCAAGTTTATCTGGGCCGGCTACACTTAACCGTCTCAGTTCAGACACCTATAAAATTGGGCATTAAACAAAATAAAATCTGTTAAATTGAACGCGCCACCTGTTCAGGCGGCCCGGCCGAGCCGACGCGACCTGGACTCAGCCGCCATGTTTGTTTGGTGGTGGCGCCCCCTATAGGTCGCTGGAGTCGCGAATAAGCTTCAATTATCTCCCTCCCATAGCGCTCCCGGTGCCCCCCAACTACTTTGGTCTCGTTGAACAAAGGCGTGCATGCCTGGCACTCCTTACCGTGAACTATAATAGGATGCAATGACCCCTCTGGCTGTGACGCGCATTCAATGTGGTGTTCTCGGAGGCGATCATTTATGCATCGGCCTGTTTGGCCGATATATTCCGCACCGCAGGTCAAAGGAATCGAGTAGACTTTTTCTTTTGCGCATCGAACGAATTGAGAGCCGTGTTTTTTTGCACATGCTGGGGGGGGAACTGGCGTTGTTAACCAGTTTGCACATGGAACCCAGTTTGAACCTGCATTTGAAAATGACCTTGGTGCCAAAGCGGGACGCGAGAGACTTGACGCGGTGCGCCACGTTATGCATGTAGGGAATGCAGGCGATCCCCCCGCCCGGAGCAGCCCGTGAGGTGCGGGGAGTTCGATTTACGATGAGCCTCCGCGTGACAGAACTGAGTAGGTCCATCGGGTAACCTGCCTTGAGAAGGCGGTTAAATTGTGTTTTCACACTCGAGGTTGAGTGGTGACTGCACGACCTGCTGCGTGCAGAGGTGATCAACGAAGTGACCACCCCCGTCTTAACGGACCTGGAATGGGAGCTGGAAAAGGGAAGAACTGGTTTCTCCGAACGTTGCCGAAACGCCCAGCAGATACCCGTCGTAGTCGTATTCAACCTGATGTCTAAGTACTGCAGTCCCTCCTCCGTGGGGTCCTCTCTCTTAAAGTTGAGGCTGCCTGCCGCGCTGAGAAAACAAGGCGAAATAGAATGGACCGGGGTTCCTGTGGGGTGAATTACAAGATAGTCATCCACATAGCGCACTACCTGACACCCGGGCACGATGCTCCGTAGTTCCTCGTCGATTGTCCTATCAACGAAGGAAAGATAGATTTCACTCAGCACTGGTGCCAGGCAAGACCCAATGCATACACCTGATTTTTGAATAAACACTTCTCCGTTCTGCTCAATCATTGTAGAGCGGAGGTAAAGCTGGAGCAACTGGATAAACCCAGACAGTGGAAGGCCTGAAGCGTTCTGGAACCTGCACAGGCCGAACTCATTGATGGCCTCATCAACGCACTTAATTAGGAAAGGAATGTCTAAACTATAGTACATATCCTCGACGTCGTAAGAAAACACTGACAGTGGAACGGGCGCGCTATGTAAGGGGGTCAAAACCGTAATTAGCTCGTTAGAGTTACGAATTCGGAACGGCTGGGAAGGGGTGAGAAGGGAGAGGTGTTTTTGGAGAAAAAGCGCAAGGGGCTTCTGCCAGCTTCCGCCTTCCGAAACAATGGAGCGGAAGGGTAATTCCGGTTTGTGAGTCTTCGCTGAGAAGAACAGGAATAAGTACTGCTTGGATGGTTTCATGACGGAACTTTTGAGTTTCGGGAGATTAAGCTCGGAGCACAGCTCTTTAACTCTGGACCGAACAGACCCCGAAGGCCGCCCCTTTACTCGAAGAAAGTTTTTGTCAAGAGCTTGTTCTACCCTCTGCCGGTACTGGTCCTCACCCATGACGACGAAACCTCCAGTCTTGTCGGCCTCAAGAAGCTTGAGGTCTGAAGATCGGAGTTCATCCACAGCTGACTTGACGGAGAACTTGGTGGAGGGCGCCGGCACAGGGTGGGCGCACACGGATCGCAGCGCTGCTCCCAGGAACTCGTGGCGTTCTTTTTCTGGAACCGTTGATGCCACCTGATGCACCGCAGCTAGCTGATCGATTCTCGACACCTGGGAGTCCGGTGCAAACTTGGGGCCACATGAAAGGGCGGTCTTGGTGTTCTCAGAGAGCTCGACTCCGGAAATATTAATTGGCGGGTCAAATCTTGAGCTCGTGTTAGCCCGGCTTGAGGTGGCCACCCCCGCAATTACATTCCTCCAGGATGACTCCAAGAGCTGCGCAGCGGCTTCTAGCAGAAAGATAAATGACGCGTGCTTGCCGTAGGATGGTCCGAAGCACGATGTCATGAATCCCGGAAGAACAACCGCTGTCAGTCGGAGCTCTTCAGACAATTCTTCGCGTGATATCTGCATGATCCTGTGACCTGATGACCAGTTGTGGGAGTGGAAGCCGAGGGCTTGAAACACCGAGGGGTGCACGACATTCTTGCGGACGCACAGACCCAATGTCCGGAGGCGCAGCTTGAGGAGGGTTTGCCTTGAAATGAACATGGCAGCACGGAGGAACGTAGTAGGTTCAAACGAAGATGATGGGGTCTGAATGTGGGATAAGGGGCGGGTGGGGTCGTGCGACGGGTGCTGGGGCAGGGGGCTGGGACGGGACATGCTCACTTTTACGTATGAAGACTTTGACGAGCGTGTTCTTCGAGTAAAGGGGCGGCCTTCGGGGTCTGTTCGGTCCAGAGTTAAAGAGCTGTGCTCCGAGCTTAATCTCCCGAAACTCAAAAGTTCCGTCATGAAACCACCCAAGCAGTACTTATCCCTGTTCTTCTCAGCGAAGACTCACAAACCGGAATTACCCTTCCGCTCCATTGTTTCGGAAGGCGGCAGCTGGCAGAAGCCCCTTGCGCTTTTTCTCCAAAAACACCTCTCCCTTCTCACCCCTTCCCAGCCGTTCCGAATTCGTAACTCTAACGAGCTAATTACGGTTTTGACCCCCTTACATAGCGCGCCCGTTCCACTGTCAGTGTTTTCTTACGACATCGAGGATATGTACTATAGTTTAGACATTCCTTTCCTAATTAAGTGCGTTGATGAGGCCATCAATGAGTTCGGCCTGTGCAGGTTCCAGAACGCTTCAGGCATTCCACTGTCTGGGTTTATCCAGTTGCTCCAGCTTTACCTCCGCTCTACAATGATTGAGCAGAACGGAGAAGTGTTTATTCAAAAATCAGGTGTATGCATTGGGTCTTGCCTGGCACCAGTGCTGAGTGAAATCTATCTTTCCTTCGTTGATAGGACAATCGACGAGGAACTACGGAGCATCGTGCCCGGGTGTCAGGTAGTGCGCTATGTGGATGACTATCTTGTAATTCACCCCACAGGAACCCCGGTCCATTCTATTTCGCCTTGTTTTCTCAGCGCGGCAGGCAGCCTCAACTTTAAGAGAGAGGACCCCACGGAGGAGGGACTGCAGTACTTAGA